ATTTTCAGGAGCAGTTGATTCTGGAAAAATAAATATACTATAAGAAGTACATTTATAAAACACATACAAATATAGAGGAGTATGTACCTGTAGTGATTTTAATATATCTTCAGCATTATTGTATAAATTGTAAGAAAGAACTTTACTATTTCTTACAATCAAATCACATGAAAAGGGGTTCTTTGCTATATCAGAATTTCTCCATTCATTCCTTTCATTTTAAGTTCTATAAACAAAATAAATCAAACTCTATCATCTGTCTAATGAACACTGAGTATTTATCACATACTAGATAATTTTGGGAAGAGGTGGGTATGGCAGTGAAGATGAGAAGCAGCTCTCTGCTTTCCTGGATCATATTAGTCTATAGATTTGCAAGGAACATAAATAATTGAATATATATCCAGCACTGGTCAAGGAAAACAGTGAATATAATGAGTTTGAAGTAAAATTTTAAGTAAGTTGGTGAAGGAAGACTACACTGAGAAAAACAGATTTCTGGAAATTTCAAAGGAGGTAAGAGGGCTAGCCTAGTGGAAAAACTGACAGAGGCAAGGACGGATGGCAAAATTCCGAGTAGGTTACATGACAAGCCTTGACTTGGCTTCAGTCAGAAAAATGTGACAGGCTAGATTAAAGAAGGCAAAGGGAAAACTAGTAATAAAGCCAAAAAGGCACCAGGAAGCCAGGTGCCCCAGGACCTTTTACACTATTACAAGGACTTGTTTTCATTCTGAATGAAATGGTAAGGCCTGCCATTTTGAGCAAAGAAATTACTCAACTTGGAATCATCTTGAGCTCTGTGATAGGAACACAATGAAGGGCAACAGGGGAAGAGGGGGTAAAAGCAGTTAGGAAACTGCACCGATCCAGAGAACACAGATTCAGGCTGAGTAACAGGTGATAAAAAATGGTTAAATCCTAAATATATTTGGACATTAAAGAAGCTTTGTAGATAGGCTATGTATGGAGTGGTAACTCCAATATTTTTAGACTGAGGAATAGGAAGAGGGAGTTGTCATGTACTGAGATGGAAAAGGCACAGCAGGAGCTGGGTTGGGGGTTGGTGGGAGAGCAAGTATCCAAAAGCATTGAACAGGCAAGTAATAAGGAAGTAGGTATGTGATCTACTCCAAGAGATGCTACTTAATATCCAGGCTACTTAACCCAGCACTTTCTGAATTCAGTCATTGTACCCATTGCTGTTCTGGGCATCACTCAGCAGCAGAGAGCTACTTCACCACAGAGCATTGCCTATTCTTTCTCAGGATGACCCACATCCAATGACAAACTGATACAGAGACATAAATACTTGGCCATCTCTGCCTAAAAAGTGACAACTGTAAGTCAGAGAGTTCCCCACGGGCAGAGAATGGAGGTCATCGTACCTGTAGCACAATTTAGGGTCTCCTTTGTCTCACTACTGCCTACTTTTTCTTCCCTGAGGGCCAAATTCAAGGCCACGTCTTACAAACTTCTTCAACAGTAACCTTCATTTCAGAATGTCTCCCAATTAACCTAGTCTGTGACCAATCTGATACCAGGAGTGGGCTGAAAAAGCAGTAGTAATAAGATGGATATTTGAAATGGGGTCAGTGCCTGGTAGTAAATGGTCTATGGCACAAGGTGGCAGTCTGACTATTAAAATGCTCTCCTGAGGCAAACTGCAACAGTATATTAATAAAACAGACTATGTTCGCTGAAATGCTACTTCAGAGTTTTGGAGAAATAACAACTAAAAGGACAATGAGAAAAGAACACAAAACTTGGGGGCAAATTACTATGTAGAAGCCAGAGGACTTCTCTGGTATATACAAAGAGACTCAGGTTAAGGCTTCTTAGCAGAAGATGCTGGTGACAGGAACAGAGTTTAGCCACCAATTAAGCCCTAAAATTCCTGAGCAGGTCTACTATGTTACAATCCTCATACATAGAATGGACTCTTATTACACAGGGTGGGATGTCTGGTTGGTGTCCCAAAATGAATCCCCATATTTAACACCATTTTATGACCTCATAAAAGTAACCTTGTCATTTTTTTGGTGTTGATGAAGATAGAGACTTCCTCTATAAACAATACATACCCCTCTAATCCCCATTCACTCTTGACTGCCTTCCAGACCCTCCAGGTAACCAGAGGTATATCAGAACAGGAGCCACAAGGACATGCTGGGGTTAAAAAGAAAGAGACAGACTATAACCTAAAGGAACTGCAAAATCTAGATAGTCTGTATTAGCCCAGGATAGTACAAATGGGATTAAATTCTGAGGATATTTGATCAGAGGCTAGGACCCCAATATTCGTGATTTTTAGATGTTTTCTGAGATGCAGAACTTAGCACTTTTTAAGACTTTGGTCACAGAGTTTACAATAATAAATAGAGATATGAAACATCAACAAGATGTCCCGTTCTCCGCCCCCCCTTGTTTGAGGCGATATGACAGTCAGTAGTAAATGGAGCATCAGCCAGGGGCTCCTAATGAGTCACATGGGACTACAAATCCACCCTTTATGAAATTTCTCAGTCAACTAAAATATTCTGATTTCACACTTCATAAGTGTGCCACAATGCCCAAAACAAGTTCTTAGCCTATAAGAGCTGTCATAGAGAAAATAATGAGAAACAATTTGACACTGCTTTACCCCAACACTGCCAACATGGTAAGTTAAAAATCAGTAGAGTTTGAAGAGGCATGGCAAAAACCAATAGCCCCTAACATTGAAACAGCACTCAGGGTGGTCCCAGCACAGTTACCCCAGCTGTTGGGGGCCCATGCTACAGTACCATTTATCCCTCTGCCCACGCCTTTCTGCTTTCTCCCTCCTAAAGGAGTTGGTCCCAGTCTGGGGTCAGGGGTCAGGTAACTCTACCTGTAGCAGTTACTCCCCAGCTATGAATTTAAGTTCTATTTCCTTTTAAAATTATTGTGAGCTTCTCGTCAAGATGACTTCCTAATTGGGCAATGCTTCTAAAGGGACAATGTCAAGACAATCAGTACTTTAACAAAGACGGGCATTTTCTCTGGGAAGAGCCCAAAACTACAACTCCTAATTTCTTACAGATGTGTTCTACACACACACACACACACACACACACACACACACACACACACACGCACGCACGCTTTATTTTGAGGCAGAGTCTCATTATGTAGCCCAGGCTAACCTGACATAACTCATGACAATCCTCTTGACTCAGCCTCACAAATCATGAGATTATAGACATGAGCTACCATACATAGTTGCAGCCGATTTCCACATTAAAAATTACTTTTGGCTCTGTTAATTCCCATTCTCTTGACAAATAGCTTCAGCAATTCCCCAATTTAATATTTAAAAAGTGTTTTTTTGTTGATTCTACACTGAAAAAGATCATTTCAGCCAGGTGTGGTGATGTACACCTTTGAGCCCAGCATCTGGGAGACAGAGGCAGGTGGGTCACTGTGAATTTGAGGTCAGCTTGGTCAGATAGTTCCAAGCCAGACAAGTCTAGAAGAGGGGAGGGGAGAGGAGGGAAAGATCATTCCAAATTGGTCCATATCTCCATTTCTTTGGAAAGCTTTTCATTGTTTCCAAATAATTTTCCTCTATTCATCACCACTTCAATGCTTATAACTTATTTAACAGCTTCTTTGCAAGTATGCTGAAGTGTCTTATTTAGGTAAACTTTATATCCATAAACAGTGAAGCAAAATAAATTACCTAAGCACTATCTTCATTAAGTTATTTAGAAAGTTAATAATCAAAACCTCATATTAAGTTTGAAGGGTGAAACATTTAAAGTTATATGTGTCTAATAAGTCAAAATGAATGGTATCATAAACATTGAAATTAAATTGAAGAGTTTCCTAACTATTTCTATGAATAAGTAAAGTTTAATTGGGTAAGTAGGATAATAATAAATCAAATATGTACTTTTAAAAGTAGTTCATAATTAGAAAATACACTCTGCATTAAAATCTTCAACATATTCTATATTATATAAACTGATGAAAAAGGCATTTTCATCTGTCGGAGACAACTTTAAAAATACAAGAAACCAGAAGACACATCTCTAGTTACGTTTGAGTACAGTCAATCATTAAAAAAAGGCAACATAGGTATTTTATAACAGTAATGGCTTTGTGGCTATACAGTAACAAAGTAAGGGACTGTCAGCTGTCAGGACAAGATCTGCCAGAATACATTATGGTGAGTTCTCTTTTTTGGAGGAAAAAAATGAATGTTTAATAACAATATTTGGCCCATAATCAAATATTAAGTACATTAGATGACAACATAATACTACATTTTAAATACTGTAGATTTATCAGAGCTTCATGGATTATAATTGGATAGCCTGATTCTTGCTCTATTGTAGGCTCTTGGATTATACTAGTTCATCCTCAGACTCCACCCCTTCCTTTCTTCCTTCTTCTACCACAAAAGGGTCAGATAGCAGCCACAAACATGAATGAAGATCAGATTTTTCCACAAACCAGAAAAGAAGTACAGACTGCCCAAAGTGTAAAACAGAAAAAGGTTCCTTTTTTTATTTGTTGCCCCATTTCTTGTGCATTTTAATAGCCACAATAATCTTGAAAATCTTCTAAGAACAAAGATCTTTTCAGGATAAGAAAAGATACACCTTTTAGGGATGGATACACAAAAAGCTACCATTTGGCTAGTAAAAGTTATGATTAGATAGATATATACAAATAAAGTGTATTTTCTTTTTTTCATTTAAATCACTTCTAACTATTAAACTATATGGAATCAAACGAGATTATTTTTGTCTTTTTGAGACAGGGTCTCTCTGTAGCCCCAGCTGACCTGAATTCACTATGTAGACCAGGCTCGCCTTGAACTCACAAGGATCCGCCTGCCTCTGCCTCCCAAGTGCTGGGATTAAAGGCGTGTGCGACCACACCCAGCTGAGATTTTTTTTAATGATTATGTTACATGTCTTTAGATGTTTGAAAGTCAACTCAAATATAGATAAAATAAGGATTATACATACTTGGAAGAAACTGCCTCCATGAATTCATCTAAAAAGTCGTCATATTTTGGACCTCTCACTCTTCTCTGCCGTAGTCCAATGTACAATGGATCTTTAAGTAACTCCTATTGTTGGGGGGAAAAAAGTTACCATAAAAGAGAAATAGGAATAAAAGGACATCTACCTTTCCTCTGCCTGCTTCTTCATCTCTATGAGACAGAAATAGAAATAAAATCTTGATGTACAAAGCATAATTAACCCAGTCACTACTTACTTAATGTTATATACAGTACATCGATAGCATTTATATCCCAAATAAGAAAAAATAATTACTATGTTAAAAAACATTCTGAGTTAGTCTAAGGAAAACAAAAGGAATTAAAGTATCTCAGTGGTGCTAGGAAAGCTCATTTCAGATCTTACAGGTAAATTTATCACACAGAGAAATAGTATTGAGTTTTGAAGTTTGTGTATATTGTCCTTACAACCCATGATTGTATTAAGTTAATGTATTTTTATGCTTTTCTATAGATCATTTAGTATTTGCTATATACATTATTTTGTATATACAAATAAATTGGAACAATTGGAAACTAATATGTCTGAGACAATATTATTCTGTTCCAAGTTTTAGCATGAATAATACTAAATAGCATATTAATAAATCAGTTTTCAAATTGAGGTATAACCTATAAAGTAAAATGTACCCATTCATAGCAAAAGTTCTCAGTAAACCAGGAACAAAAAGGAACATAATTAACCCAGTGAAGGACTTGTGTGAAAAACCCACAGCTAATGACAAATTTTAAAGTAAAAGACTGAATGCCATTCTCTTCAGATACAAAACAAAGCAAAGAAAT